ACAAACAAACAAACAAACACAAATGTTGAGTATTTTGTCATGAGGTAGAAATTTAATTCAGCTTCAGTCCAGGAGAAATGGATAAACTCTAGGAGGAATTCCTTGAGAACCAGATGCTGCAGAAAGCTTCCCAGCTACTCTAGGGAAGGAAGCTGACATGAAGAAGTACAGTACAGCACACTATGGGGCTATATGAATTAAAATGTTGTCTAGGGTTGCATATAAAATACTGATGTTCTCTCCACCAATGTCTTAGAAGAGAGAGTGTTCAGTATGGTGACAAAAAACAAGCCCAATTTCAGGCCTACTCTGAAACTTGCTGGAATCGTATCATCATTTTGAAAGTGAAGTTAGCTCGGCCAGAACAACAGGAGCCATGCTTTTCACTCAAACTATCTCAGTCACTATCGAAAGCAGCTAAGAAGGCTACATGGGAATATAGTAAATATTCTTACTGATCCAACAGTCATTTTACAAGCAATCTGCCTTTGATGTAACACTATGGAACAAGTTTAAGCGACCTAACATTTACAATGATCTAAATAAAATACGTATCAAGGGTTTGTGGGAATTTCAGTTTTCGATGGAGATGAGGGATTGAGGAATGTATAACGACAGAAGTAAGTATGTGTGTTTTACTTTTTTTCATACCCCCCTAAAAAACTATAAATTACTAGTCATAATATGAGTAATGCTTTGGCCTCAGAATGCAGAGATTGGCGTTCCAGATTTCTAAATTTAAAAATATTTTTTCGGGGGGAGCTTGCCCCCCCGGAATCCTCTAGCAGGCTATGCCTAGCTGCACTTGACAAACATCCAGGTATTTTATCAGCCCAACTCGGCAACTCTGTAAGTAGAAAAAGGAAAAACTGTCTACCAAAGTAAATCTCTCATACTCTGTACTTGACCACCGTTATGTCAGTAACAAGTAAAAATGTTATCGAATATACAGTTGCCTCACAACATCTATTAAAGCTGTTTATATTGTGACGTGTGATTGATATCTTTTGAAGTTACTTCTGTTGTGAAACTTCAGTATTTCTTTTCATAAAGGTATTTATATTATGTTTTCTTAGATATAGGCATTCTGAGCATACACCACGGAAAGTCCTTTCATGACAGAAACAATTAAAAACAATTACATAATGCCACCAGAGCTTTGAAAAATCATGCTTTTATACCTAACGATACCAGAAATGCTTCTAATATTCCACACTGTCAACATTAAGAAGCATTTATGTTACTTATTTGCATTTTTACATACACTGACCAGTGTGAAAACGTAAAGATCAAAGATTCACTGCTGATTGTCTCAAATGGCGTAAAATTAACAGACGTACTAAGTTTCATTAGTCTATTGGTAATCATACTAATGATTCACACCACGTGCTGGTTCTGTGAGAGTGTTCGGTAAACTGACATTCCCTTAATGTATTTTATAACATAGACACATCCCTCGTACCAGTAGCTAAATGAGAACTGACGTGAACTCTAACACAATATTTATATATCCCCAGGTCCAAATAATGGGGGATCAGAATAATCCCAAAGTTGTTCCATTTATGTTAGGCTTAGTGGTTACTAGGTTTTTTTGCACCAAAAAATATCTTTATCGCTTGGTCTTTTAACCTTCTGATTTCTTCAAATTAAACCTTTTTAATTTTCTTCCATTCACAAACATTTCTATTTGATACAGACAAGTACCTGTAGAGCATTTTAAACTCTAAACTGATGGGAAATATCTAATTAATTACAGTTTTATGTTAAACTTTTAGTCATTATGTTAGTATACATGTACCCTATAATTCACAATGCTCGTTTGTACTTGAACGTACCATTGTTATTTAAAGTTGCACGATATAATCTCTAACCAGAGGTTCAATTTCTCTCTCTCACGGTAGGACAGCGGTAAGTTTAAAATCCGTGTTTCATTTCCCAGTGGTGGACACAGCTAATAGCCCAATGTGGTTTTGCTATAAAACAAACAACGTCTTCTTCTAACATTTAATAGCACAGAGCACGAGTTCCCAAATTAGGCCCCCGATAAGTTTCTGCATTCTGACAGATGCCCCTCTACCTATGTATTTTGTGTATATGGTATGATCACCACCCAGTTTGGGAACCATTGGTATAGAGGGGCATCGGTCAGAATGTATAAACTCTCTATATGGTTCCCAAACTGGGTGGTGGTCATACCAAATACACAAAATACATCGGTCAGAATGTAGAAACTCTCTATACCAATTGTATTTCGTGTATTTGGTACGACCACCACCCAGTTTGGGAACCATTGGTATAGAGAGTTTCTACATTCTGACCGATTGTATTTCGTGTATTTGGTACGACCACCACCCAGTTTGGGAACCATTGGTATAGAGAAAAGTTATTTCACTTTAATTAGTTCAATAATAAAAACAAATATCCGATTTATCATAATTCCGAATTAATTATTGTTTCTCTATAACAATCTTACAATACACATAACAATCTCTAATAAATGTTGTTGGTTATCCTAGATCCAAATAAACTCCCCATATTGAGTTGTTGTATTTGAAAAAGGTCCCACATTTCCCATTTCCACTTCCGTGAACTATGCTTTATTGCTTCCTATACTCGGAGATTTCAGAATCAGGAAGGGAATAATAAGAGAAATTGAATAAATCTCGGTCTTCGCTTTCATGAATTCTCTTAACGATCTCGTAGGTAAACAGTGGATTCAAAATCATTTGACTCGGAACATCCGCGTTATCGCAAAGCACATTTGATATAACTTTATTTTCAACAAAGTTTAATATTTATGGAAGATCTGTTTAGTCAAACACACACAAAAAAACACATTTAAGTATACATTAAAATGTTTTTATTGAACTTTTTACAGCCCACACAGTTTAGATGATAGTGCTATAAATATCCATACGCTTCAAACACTAGAAAGCTGTACAACTTCAAAAACAAACATTGACAAACAAGCAAGAGCGCTAAAGTTTCAAAGTTATTTACAACATTGCTAATAAAAGCTAATTAAAAGAAAAACAAACATCAAATGAAACGAGGGGTTTAATTTATTTCATTTAATAAATCAGCGGTACACGTAAGATGAATTAACTTTATCGCGGTTTTACATGTTCATAGAAGACAGAAGTCAGTTAATTTTCTACTTACTATGTTTTTGCGCTAAAACCTATTCTTTCAGCATATAGCAACCCATTACGTCACAATGAAACTGTGTACTTCGCCAAAACCTATTCTTTCAGCATATAGCAACCCATTACGTCACAATGAAACTGTGTACTTCGCCAAAACCTATTCTTTCAACATATAGCAACCCATTACAGCACAATGAAACTGTGTACTTCGCCAAAACCTATTCTTTCAACATAGAGCAACCCATTACGGCACAATGAAACTGTGTACTTCGCCAAAAACTGTACTTTCAACATAGAGCAACCCATTACAGCACAATGAAACTGTGTACTTCGCCAAAAACCTATTCTTTCAGCATATAGCAACCCATTACCGCACAATGAAACTGTGTACTTCGCCAAAACCTATTCTTTCAGCATATAGCAACCCATTACGGCACAATGAAACTGTGTACTTCGCCAAAACCTTATCTTTCAGCATATAGCAACCCATTACGGCACAATGAAACTGTGTACTTCTTTTGGACAGTTCTTCGTACACGCATCAGTCACAAAATGAAATAAACTTCTTCAGACTTACAATCGAAATTAAAGAAAAATAAAATCCTTTGGATGTCACGTGCACTTGCAAGACTAGAGTAGGAAATAAACGTAGTTTTAATTTAAACTTGCTATTAATAAACGTAGCTGTAATTTAAACTTGCTGTTAATAAACGTAGTTGTAATTTAAACTTGCTATTAATAAACGTAGCTGTAATTTAAACTTGCTATTAATAAACGTAGTTGTAATTTAAACTTGCTATTAATAAACGTAGCTGTAATTTTAACTTGCTATTAATAAACGTAGTTTTAATTTGAACTTGCTATTAATAAACGTAGTTGTAATTTAAACTTGCTATTAATAAACGTAGTTGTAATTTAAACTTGCTATTAATAAACGTAGCTGAATTTTAACTTGCTATTAATAAACGTAGTTTTAATTTGAACTTGCTATTAATAAACGTAGTTGTAATTTAAACTTGCTGTTAATAAACGTAGTTGTAATTTGAACTTGCTATTAATAAACGTAGTTGTAATTTGAACTTGCTATTAATAAACGTAGTTGTAAATTAAACTTGCTGTTAATAAACGTAGTTGTAATTTAAACTTGCTGTTAATAAACGTAGTTGTAATTTAAACTTGCTATTAATAAACGTAGTTGTAATTTGAACTTGCTATTAATAAACGTAGTTGTAAATTAAACTTGCTGTTAATAAACGTAGTTGTAATTTAAACTTGCTGTTAATAAACGTAGTTGTAATTTAAACTTGCTATTAATAAACGTAGTTGTAATTTAAACTTGCTATTAATAAACGTAGTTGTAATTTGAACTTGCTATTAATAAACGTAGCTGTAATTTGAACTTGCTATTAATAAACGTAGTTGTAATTTGAACTTGCTATTAATAAACGTAGTTGTAATTTTAACTTGCTATTAATAAACGTAGTTGTAATTTGAACTTGCTATTAATAAACGTGGCTGTAATTTAAACTTGCTATTAATAAACGTAGCTGTAATTTGAACTTGCTATTAATAAACGTAGTTGTAATTTGAACTTGCTGGTAATAAACGTAGTTGTAATTTAAACTTGCTGTTAATAAACGTAGCTGTAATTTTAACTTGCTATTAATAAACGTAGTTATAATTTGAACTTCCTATTAAAGTGTTTTCTACAAATAATTCCTACCAATTGTACTATAATATTTTATATATTAGATTTTTCTCTCATATTTTGAATGTCATATAAAACAACTCGTTTAAAACAATTGGTCATATATAAAGCGAATATAAAACCTTAGGTCCTGATCTAAAAAGATTGATAAACATATCTTTAAAGAAAAAAAAACTTTATTAAAAAACTAATAATTAATGTTGTTGTTTTTTTTCCAGTATCATTAAGCATATTTCTCTGGAGGGTTTCTTTATGGTGACCTGAAGACTGCTAACATATCATAAATATTGACAGATTCTAAAGAACTGATACAATTATTACGTTGAACGAGATAATCAAGCATCTGAATATATTTTATTTGGCCGTATTCTCTATGTGCTTAGTTTATTTGATGTTCTCTTTCAATTTTTTCCTACCCATATTGACGCATGTAGCATAAGAAAAGCACAAATATCACAGCCATAAAGCCCACATGTTTCATTAGTTCTTTCAACAAAGCATGTTCATTAATATTACTGCATTTTACTTTTACAGGACGAAACTACACGTACGTATCACAGGTTAGTCTTCTTATCTTTGCTGCAGAGGCATCTTAACCCAACAATTAATATAAAACCATAGTTTAACTAATTAATAAATATTGTCCTCCTCATCTTCAAATTATAAACTCAGAATTTTGATGCAATTGGAATTTCGATTTTCAGCATGATGATATTTTTGTTTCAAGCCTCTGAACAGCATTAAGTCCTGTGACAAACACTATATGTAAACTGGAAAGAAATCACTACCTAAAGCAATCATCTTGGTAAGAACTCAATATTTGAGTAGATTTTGTTTGATTTCCTTGAAACTACTCAAGATCCTTTAAATCATGCTCTTCGCTTGGCTTCTTTGTTTAGAGCAGTTGCAAGTGAAAACAAAATATAACGCTGTAACCAGCGTAGTTTAGTTTTACGTACACAAGACAAAGGATTCCATTTAGATAATACAATTCTCATAAGATTTATTTTCAATCTCCCGAGATATTTTCTGACCACAAGGACCTGATGTCAAAACTAACCCAGAGCAATGTTCTTTTATAATACAAGAAGACGCGTTTTTGTTTCAGGTTCCTGGCTAACAGTAGATAAACCACACACTCAAGAGGATGGTAAACAGTAGGTTCCACATGGAGTTCCCATAAGATCTCCTACCTCCAGATCCTTGGAAAAGAAGAGCACACATAATCAATATATGATAGATACATTTCGACGAACACTTCAGTGCATATATGGTAGAATTTTTATATAAAAATTGTCAATAACTTTTAACTAATATATTATTCATGAAATGGGCTAGAATGTCAGGAAACTAAATTTTGCTCAGAAACGTAATGTTATAAACTACTTTAGCAAATAGATTAAAATGAATTAAGGCAACTCTACCATAGAGTTTTTACTTTTAACACAATTTTAACTGTTAACACTTAGAAAAACGTACAGTACATTCTCAGACCACACTTGTCGTGAACCAACCACAATTTACATACAAAATGTACTTGTTACGTACCATTCAGACTCAATAAGATGATTAATATCAACTTAAAGAATAGGTTGTTTAATCATTTTACACGAACATGTGTCATTAGTTTATATCAGGAATGTACTTATATTTTCTTTTTTAACAGATAGGTTCTTCAGTTTCTTTATTGCATAAACATTTTGTTCAGTATAATTGACGGAAAATAGTTTGCTGCTATGGACATCTTTTAAGAATCTTAAATAAATATATTGGCTTTGCTCACTTACTTAGGCTTAAGACATTTAACTCGGCGCTTGGAAGGTTTGTTCTTATGATTTCAAACTCGGAATTATGTCTAAACAAACGGACTACTTATACTGGAAGATGATAAACGTTACCAACCTCCTCCACCTTTTGCCGAAACTTGTAATCCAGAACTCTGTTGGCTAGCACCTATTACAGTTTCCACACGGCTTGTGTCGACCGTCTTAGAAAAAATAGCAGTACAGTTCAGTCGCATTTCGCCATTTCGGAAGTGGTGTTCTCGAACGATGAAATGAACACCAAGTAACGCAGATTCTAGACCATCTGGATACTTAACAAGCGGGTACCGAGTTACGTATTCTGGTGACACCTGGAGTGTATCAAACAAGTAAGAAATACATTTATCTATCTATATATATAACCTATTTCCTGTTACATATGTATACACACGTACATCTTTTAGCCAAATTCTACAATAGACTAAACTTTCTAAATATACCAAGTCTTAAGTTTATACACGTGTCATCAAATATCTTGTAAAACAGTAAAGAACAGCATAATTCAAATATGTCTTTAGGTTTCTTATAATTTGTGATAGAATGCTAACCTTTGCTTCTTAGAGAATTTCTTTATCTTATATAAGGTTTTAAACGAGATATTTATCACTACTGTCCTTCTACCTTTTCTATTTCAATCTATAAAAGTGTTAAGATCTTTCATCCATGATTTTATAAATGAATATTTTTAATAATAATTTATAAAAAATGAAAATTTGAATCATCTTTAGAAGACTACAGATTCACATGTGCGTCTCATAGAGAAACAATATACTACAACATGACACGTGTTTCTCATATAGAAACAATGTACTACAACATGACACGTGTTTCTCATATAGAAACAATGTACTACAACATGACATGTGTTTCTCATATAGAAACAATGTACTACAACATGACATCTGTGTCTCATACAGAGACAATGTACTACAGCATAACATGTGTGTCTCATATAGAAACAATGTACTACAGGATCACACGCGTGTCTCATACAGAAACAATGTACTAAAGCACCACATGTGTTTCTCATACAGAAACAATGTACTACAGCATCACGTGTGTGTCGTTTAGAAACAATGTACAACAGCATCACATGTGTTTCTCATATAGAAACAATGTACTACAACATGACATCTGTGTCTCATACAGAAACAATGTACTACAACATGGCACGTGTTTCTCATATAGAAACAATGTACTACAACATGACATGTGTTTATCATATAGAAACAATGTACTACAGCATAGCATGTCTGTCTCATACAGAAACAATGTACTACAGGATCACACGCGTGTCTCATACAGAAACAATGTACTACAGCATCACATGTGTTTCTCATATAGAAACAATGTACTACAACGTGACATCTGTGTCTCATACAGAAATAATGTACTACAACATGACACGTGTTTCTCATATAGAAACAATGTACTACAACATGACATGTGTTTCTCATATAGAAACAATGTACTACAGGATCACACGCGTGTCTCATACAGAAACAATGTACTAAAGCACCACATGTGTTTCTCATACAGAAACAATGTACTACAGCATCACGTGTGTGTCGTTTAGAAGCAATGTACAACAGCATCACATGTGTTTCTCATATAGAAACAATGTACTACAACATGACATCTGTGTCTCATACAGAAACAATGTACTACAGGATCACACGCGTGTCTCATACAGAAACAATGTACTACAGCATCACATGTGTTTCTCATATAGAAACAATGTACTACAACGTGACATCTGTGTCTCATACAGAAATAATGTACTACAACATGACACGTGTTTCTCATATAGAAACAATGTACTACAACATGACATGTGTTTCTCATATAGAAACAATGTACTACAGCATAGCATGTCTGTCTCATACAGAAACAATGTACTACAACATGACATGTGTTTCTCATACATAGACAATGTACTACAACATGACATCTGTGTCTCATATAGAAACAATGTAACACAGTATGACATGTGTTTCTCATACAGAAATAATGTACTACAGCCTAACATTTGTGTCTCACATAGACACAACGTATTACAGCATCACGTGTGTGTCTCATATAGAAACAACGTATTACAGCTTCACATGTGTGTCTCATAAAAAAACAACGCACTGCAGTGTTGCATGTAAATCACACATGAACATTATACAATAGCATAACATGTAAATCACACATGAACAATATACAATAGCATAACATGTAAATCACACATGAACAATATACAATAGCATAACATGTAAATCACACATGAACAATATACAATAGCATAACATGTAAATCACGCAGAAACGATACATTATAGCACTTGTGTATTCACGTGTAAGGCATGCAGACATAATGCGTTACTTGTGCATCATACATAAACAGTATATTAAAGCATTATATACAAGATCTCAGTGTTCATTAGTTTTCTAATATTTTACTTGATAAAGAGTAACGTTCGTTCTATCATAGACTGAGATACATGATGACACTTTCTCTCTGACAGATAATTATTCATTACCTTCATCGTTGGTTGGTTTTGGTTTTGTTTTTATATTGCTATAGATAATGAAATTTTACTTGGTTTTCGTTAAGGAACCAACGAAGTTTCGGCGCTTCTTTCGTCTTCGGAGATGTGCAATTTGCAACAACGGATTCCCCCAAATGATAAGTTGATTTCTGTCCACTAATCTGAGGCCCGTCTTTAGCTGTAACGTATAAATCAAAACATGATCTTATAACTCGGGTGATTTTGTTCATTACTTTCTTTATCTGAGTGTTGCAATCAAAGACTCAGTTGTTATCGAGTCCTAGACATAAACATGATAAGTTTCATCTGTGATATAGCAAGGTTACATTTTCAGTTAGATGCAGCAGTGTTACTTTCAAAGTATAATTCAAAGTAATAACCCCACTTTTAAAATAGTATATTTTGGAAATAAAATGTATATTCAAGATATGAATTATATTTTACTTAATCTGTCGTATCTCTGACTGAAACATTACATACAGCTAGAGTCATTTACCAACTGAAGTTTTGTTAAGTATATGGAGCTAATATAAAATGAACACAACCTTTTCAACACATTATTCTTAAAGAGAGATTCTGTTATCTAAATATATATAGATAAAACAATGTGTGCTTAAAGAATACCGCGTTATAACTGTCCGTTATAAATATTGTAATACCTAGATAATCCCTAAACTACTTGTTTTAAATCATTCTAAATAGTACAAGTGATGAAAGATTTAGAATGAAACAGTATATAAAGTACACTATAATTTCACGTATGATATCTAATAAATATAGTGACGTGAATACAGGAAATTTCTAGGACATTAGTTAAATAATATATATTGTATTTTACTTGGAAACTACGTACTATAAAGCTAAGCCTACTATAAAGCTAAGTGCCCATTTTAGCTTCCGTTTTCTCAACGTGACGTGACTTCAGATCTTCCTTAAATAAAAGTGTTTTTTATATCAGTATAACAACCTTTTAAGTAGGTTGTCAAAGAGTTAGGTGTAATATCTACTACTGAGTTGAATTTTATCCAGTTTTCGAATTCACCCCCCACCCCCACCCCAACCATCTTGCCTGCACGTAGCTCAGATGATTTTGGCATGTCTTTGATGTAAAGCTCTTCGACGCTTCTGGAGTATTTCTGGGCAATGACTGAAGTGCAGCGTAGATTCAATGTCCCGTGCCAGAGGTGGGAGTGTTCGACAACAAATCTCAATCCAAGTCGGGAACCCAACAGTCGGTCTTCTTGCAGTGGAGTCAATGGCCATTCGAAATGCACAGGAGCCTGAAATTAGGAGTTTTTTTGTTTCTGTTTTCTTACGAATCATAATTATCTTCCTACGTGTTTAAGTACCTAGTAGTAAAAGTTATGGCACCATTTAATTCAAATTACAATAGCTTAAACATTAGGCTATAAAGTCCAAAAAATATATATGTATCGAATGAGTGGTTCGAATTTTTCAACAAACTCTGAAAAATATTTCAAACATAATTTATGTCCCCCGTGCTGTATGACCAAAAGTTTGACCAAACATAAAATATCGCTTGTTACAAACAATGAAAATGGATGACGTTCTTCATCATTTATGATCGTGTATCTTCTGATCACCACATGTGTTTGATCCGGAGTATTTCCAAAAACTCAGCTATTGTAATTATCAAACGTGATTTTATTCAATTTCTTTGACCTCTACATGTACATGTTCATCCATAATTTCTGCTACTTAAAATGGGCATCACGTATTTAATTATCATCACATTAGACAATCCAATTAGTGTTAAGTTATATGTTATTTTATAATTTAGCTTTTAACAAAATTATTTCAGTATATGACCGAAAATTCGTGTATTTTAATTTTCAGTAATGAAATCAATGCGAGACTTCACTCAGGTTATAGGCCTAGAACAAGAACTACAACTGACGCGTATCGGGAATGATCTTTCCCCGATTTTGTTATCTAAGTGTACTCTTGTATTATTCCGTTTTACATTACATTTGTTATTTAGGACACATAGCTGCTAATACTAATGTTACATTGAAATAAGTATAATACTTTTACTGTTCTTTTTTACTCATCACACTGATCTTATGTTTATATATATAAATATACGTTCACTGTGATGAATATTTTATAAGATTTTTTCTTTCAGCACGAAACTTTTTCTGTTAACGTTTGCTAATTATTTTTTGTTTTCATAAGTAATGGACTTATTTTAGTTTGAAGTGCGGGGATACGCATGGCCTGATCAGATAGAATTTAAAGTGTGGGAATAAGCATAGCCTGATCACATAGAGTTTAAAGTGCGGGGATACCATGGCCTGATCACATAGAGTTTAAAGTGTGGGAATAAGCATGACCTGATCCCATAGAGTTTAAACTGCGGGGATACGTATGGCCTGATTCTATAATGTTTAAAGTGTGATGATATGCATGGCCTGATCCCATAGAGTTTAAAGTGTGGGGATAAGCATGGCCAGATCCCATAGAGTTTAAACTGCGGGGATACGTGTAGCCTGATCCCATAGAGTTTAAAGTGTGGGGATGCGCATGACCTGATTCATTAGTTGCACAACATTTGAAGACTGTGTAACATTAAAATGTATCAGAATTTCTTTAAAATATTTAATTATGTTTAGTTTATCAATAGGTTTCGTAATTTATACGACTTTCTTGACAATTTTGAAGGAACTTTCAACTCATAATCGTTAAGTACTACCCTACGTATTATTTGCAATACACAGAAATAGATTAAGTTCTTGAAAGCTTTAATGTTTTACCTCCAGAGGGCAGCCAACCGTAAAATACGTGAGTTTTTCAAGTCTACAAGTGTGTTCTTAATCATTAAGGCCCTGCATGGCCAGGTAGTTAGGGTGATCGACTCGCAATCAGCGGGTCGAGGGTTCGAATCCCCGTTCCACCAAACATGCTCGCCCTTTCAGCCGTAGGGGCGTTATAATGTGACGGTTAATCCTACTATTCGTTGGTAAAAGAGTAGCCCAAGAGTTAGCGGTGGGTGGTGATGACTAGCTGCCTTCCCTCTAGTCTTACACTGCTAAATTAGGGACGGCTAGCGCAGATAGTCCTCGTGTAGCTTTGCGCGAAATTAAAAAACAACAACAAACAAACTTAATCAATCAAGTTTTCCTTGCAAAAGTATTTGTAATCATATAACACTACACTGATGCATTTTATAACATCAGGGTCAAGGTTATTATTATTGTAGAGAAATCTCATAACATCAGGGTCAAGGTCATTATTATTGTAGAGAAATCTTATAACATCATGGTTAAACTTATGATTATTATAAAGACATCTTATAACATCAGGGTCAAAGCTATGATTGCTATAGAGACATCTTATGACATCAGAGTGAAAGTTATTATTATAGAGACATCTTATAACGTCAGGGTCAAAGTTATGATCATTATAGAGATATCTTATAACATCAGGGTCAAAGTTATGATTATTATAGAGATATCTTATAACATCAGGGTTAAAGTTATGATTATTATAGAGATATCTTATAACATCAGGGTCAAAGTTATGATTATTATAGAGATATCTTATAACATCAGGGTCAAAGTTATGATTATTATAGAGATATCTTATGACATCAGGGTGAAAGTTATTATTATAGAGACATCTTATAACATCAGGGTCAAAGTTATGATTATTATAGAGATATCTTATAACATCAGGGTCAAAGTTAGTATTAATATTAAAACAATATAATATATGTGTATATAAACACAAAATTAACAAATACAAATTTGTGTGGTTCTTCCCTATCAGGATAAAATGAATATATTGCAGTCAATGTTAAAGATGACAATCACACATTTGATTGTTCTGAGAAATGTCTTTGTTTTTAACTTTTTTTAGCCTTTATATAACCAGTTCTTGTTGTGAAAAGGTTTTTAATAAACAATTAATAAACAGATATACTTTGTTCAGTATAAGAACTGTAAATGTTTTTTTTTAATTCAATATAAAAACAATGGCTGAAGAATCTAAGATAATAACAATCAAATTCAATCGCTTTCATCATTCTTATAAAAATTGCTGTTGTAAGAGTTACGGGAATGGTCATTACTTATATACACTAAGTGTAAGTTAATGAAAACGCCATTTTTAAAACGTGCACGTGAACGAAAGATCCATTAGCAACTTTATCATAGTATAACATAGCTAAAGTATTGGGCCATTTATAACGACACACACATTATTCGATAATCACCATGCTCTTGAATCGATATATGACACTTTTTTTTTCTAATAAACCATTCGAACAAATGAATTTATATAAGAATTTATCTCCCCCTCACTTATTCGCGTCACCCCCTGATAAGCTGTCATCCTGCCTTCCTTATAGTCATTTCACGTTACTCTTCCGGCATTATGTCAAAGCTACAACTTACTGAAACGGAAACTACCCTTTCATTAATGAGACGCGCATTACATGACCGCTTCTAAATCTCAAACAACAATATACCGACTAGCTTGGCTGCGAATACAAAATGGTTCACGGACCCGGCGGTTGGGGCACAACGGTTTTCATATGGTTGTTCACGGTGATCCAACAGCTTCTTCAACCCGACAGACGGTACGGTATTTGACATATCCAACACACTGGTTTAATGGCTAGGTCAAAGTTCATGCACAGCCATTTCTAATTAAGAGTACTGACAACCAGTCAGCATAATCAACTGTCACAATTCTAACGCCCTACAGCTGACAGCAGAGTTCAGCAGCTAGATCATTGGACCTTATCATCCGCAGCCTGACACGCTAACTAGTAGGCCATACACAACCTGAACTGGAAGAGATACTGGGTCGTCAGTATATAATATACTTATTTTAAAGGTGGAACGGTAATTAAGAATGGGATCAACTTAATAAATCCTCTAGACGCAGGATATCTAAATTATTGTTTGTAGAAAAGTTGATGTACACATTTTCCAAAATACATCTCAAGAGTATAAAGCTATTGGGAGAATGTAGGATGATTTTTAAAGAGCTGGTCAGTAGAAATAAAAATTAAGATACAGCAGGTATTTAAGCTCGGATTCTAAATCGCTCATGTTCTCATATTGGGAAGAATAATTTATGGATTTCTGGTAAATTAGATCTAAACAAGGTGGTTGACAGGCTTTGGATACTGGAGGCACTGTGTCAGCGCTAACAAAGGCTAATATATTTTGTTAGATGACATGTCAAGAAAGAGAAGACCATAGAGCTTAGATAAACACTCCTTTTCACGACCGGATACATGTTTTCATTGCTGCTAGATAAAAATTAATTTACACGACCGGATACATGTTTCGATTACTGCTTCTTAGTATACATATGTTGAGAAGAAAAATAAGTGGATTTTTATTTTACTAAGATATGGCATCATTCAATCGACTGTTGAAAACGCTAATTCTCTATTTGTTAGGGTTGGAAAAGATAGGATATAAGAGAAGGGTCAGTGTGAAGAGAAGTTTAAATGTCGAGACGTTTTCAACAAAGTTCTTAGACTTTGTATTAGAAAGTACCATTAGTTCAACTAACATTGAATCGAGATATTTGATACTAATTACTTTGATTGAATCAGTAGTTCTCATTGTACTGGATGATATACGATACACACCGGGAGGTGGCAGCACTGCTTCACGAAGTGCTATTGTACTGGTTTTAGGTGAACATTTTAACAATACGTTTCAAGTCCTTTATCAGGTAGAGTTGATTATTTTGAAACATCTACAGGTACTAAACGCTAGGCAGTTGGCATTAGTAAAAACAAATATGGACAAAACCGTGGTAGTTTACGATAATCACCAAAAACTATGGTGGTTAATATATATTCCTTTTTTTCGAAACTAAAGTTATAAATTTGTGACTCATCAACAATTTATAGAAAAAAAAATAACATTTACAAATCACATTGACCAGTTAAGGAAGAATGTTTCAAATATTGTGACTTTGATAATGTACTAATGCCGTAGAAATTATAATTAATTTGGATTGTAGTGACTAATTTCAAGCATTTTAAAGGTTTCTGTGGCATAGAATTTCTACTTTCGTATTTTATAATAACATTTATAGAAATGGACTAACCTTGGAAATCATCTGTTATCTCAATTCTAAGAATAGTTAATTAAGTGTTTGTAATGATTCGGTCCGTAGTTTGATATACTAATGACAACAAGAAATCACACCATTGCTCGAATTAGTTAGTTTACCCCTGAAAATTATAAAATTTATTAACCAAATCCTGAATCAATAACTGTAGTATTTTAGAAGGAGATTTTTGTTTTCTTATTTGTTTGTAATTAAGCAAAAAGCTACATAACGAGATATCTGTGCTCTGTCCATCGCGGGTATCAAAACCCGGATTCTAGCGTTGTAAGTCCGCAGACATGCCGCTGTGCCACTGGGGAGCATTTTGTTTTGTATGAAAATATAAGATACATAATTATAAAAATGCACAAACAATGTGTAATTAGAGCTTAACGGTCAATTCATCATTAGCACAATACATTATCACACAAAATACAAAAGAAAATTGAATAAACTGTGCGATGTACTAATGTTTGTATTTGTTTCAAACAGCACTATGCACCTTGCTTTTATGCTAGCAATAGATCAGTGTATGAGTGCGAAATACTGTTTCAATTCTACTGTATTACTCCACACAATTCAACCAAGCAGTTGAGAGTATTCCATCACCCAATTATCACCCCCCCCCCCGTTATCGTTCAACAAATTACTGATTGTTTTTGGTCACTGTCTAGCTAGAGGGTAAATCCCTACCCAGCAAGTAAAGTTTTGAGGGTATGAAATTATAGATAAAAATCCACTTGTACCTGTCAGCAGTCATAGTGCCATCAGTTTTGTGTAGGTTTCCAACACTATTTTTTGAAATGCACTCAAATCACTGTAGCTGTTGTACGCTAACCATGATTTTGAAACAACTATCGTTGATTGTGCGAACAAAAAAAATTTCGATTCATTTGTAAAGAACACTTTCATCCAGCTTTGCTTATTCATCAGTTGACATCTGAATCCATTTCAGGTACTTCGTTATCTCTCCTAATCAGTGGTTTAAGACAGCTACACATCAGTTTAGTCAATTTATTGGGATGCAGCCCGTTTTTGTGTTAATACCCCACTGACTGCAGAAGTACTCTGACCATGATACCGAATCAACTATAGTTAATGTTCTTAAAAAAATTTAATTTAGATTCACTTGTATATACCCAGATCTCCCGAGCTATTTGTTCAAAAGTAAGTTAATGTGAAAATGTGCATGAAAATTAAAAGTTTGATCTCACTGCAAAGCGCTTTGCTCATAACCAGGAAAACCCAGCTCTGACCATGTTTTTCTGTGTAATGGACCCATCAGAACATTAAACTGTTACCCAGTCAGTGATCTGAGGATCAGTCGTTGTCGTTGCTACACTATTAGGAAATCTTTACAACAACACTTATGTTATTTAGGTTATGTAGTTAGGTATTAGAGTCGGATATATATTTATATTTACCACTTATACCGTCTAAAGACAAACAATAAACGCGTTTTTTTCGATTAATTTTATAAGCCTGTTATATTCAGGATATATTCATTTAATGTATCTAACAAACAAACACAGTTACCTTTTTGTCATTGATGTACCATTTTAATTGAGCAGCAGGCTTGGATGGTTTTGCAGTACAGGTAACATTAACAAAGTCACCAACATTATAATGGCCATGCGTGCCCGACATGGTAGGCGTTTCCTTTGGTAACCCTGCAAAATAAGAAAACGTTCATTTTCTTTTAAATATATTTATATAATAATTTTTATATTAAGTTTACGTTTCTACTAAATTAGGTATTGCATAAAAGCATTTGTGGCAGAAATAATCCCTCAAAATCTGAAGGTTTGTATCTGATATTTAAATATTCACACATAATCTGAAGGTTTACATCAAATATTTAAATAATCTCTCAAAATCTAAAGGTTTACAACTAATATTAGAATATTCACACATAATCTTGGATTCTATAAGGGTTAACAGTGGATTCATTATTTTATTAAAAAATCGGAAATTTTCTCTTTTTCGGAATACATATTTAACAATTCACTTATTGTAAAATCTGCAAGTCAAGATATTAATTAATGTTGCCCTCTTTTTTCAAGAATGAAATATCCAAGTAGAGGTTGATATAAATAAAGCCTCATATTCAAAATATCTTTAAGAAAACTTCTTACATAAGAACTAAATGTCATCTTTGATGAACTTTGATAAATTAAATCTTTCTGGGAAATATTGGACATGAAACAGGGTGTTTCACAGAGGGTGTTCAACACGCTTTCTGTCATTTTCAATCAGCATATCAAGCCTGTTCCTAAACAAACCTACTGCTGGCATCATATGTTCTGGACACGTTAATTAATCCTCGTAATACTCTGCACACTGGCACGCATTTTATTCAAATCCTCAATCTCAAATTGTTGAAAGAGATAAAGAGAAGAGAAGAAAAAGAAACTATAGTTTGCAAGAAAAACAATTTGGATTTAGGATTATAATGTGGTTTTAAAACATATTTCCAACTGAGCATTTCTTCAACCAGCTATACGTAAACTGATTACACGACTTCTTGGTTTGGACTTATGTTAACAGTGTAGCCTAACTCGAAATACAATTTGGATTTAGGATTATAATGTGGTTTTAAAACATATTTCCAACTGAGCATGTCTTCAACCAGCTATACGTAAACTGATTACACGACTTCTTGGTTTGGACTTATGTTAACAGTGTAGCCTAACTCGAAATATTATTTGGAACAAAGATTGCAGTCTTTGCATATTTGTTGATTTTCTTTTGTATAAAAAACTATAGCGGTGGATAGTGATGACTAGCTGCCTTCCCTCTCGTCTTACATTGCTAAATTAGTAAAAAACTATAGCGGTGGGTAGTGATGACTAGCTGCCTTCCCTCTAGTCTTACACTGCTAAATTAGTAAAAAACTATAGCGGTGGGTAGTGATGACTAGCTGCCTTCCCTCTAGTCTTACACTGCTAAATTAGTAAAAAACTATAGCGGTGGATAGTGATGACTAGCTGCCTTCCTTCTAGTCTTACATTGCTAAATTAGGGACGGCTACCACAGACAGCCCTCGTGTAGCTTTGGGAGAAATTCATAATATAAATTTCCAATTAATGTTAACTGCGAAGATTTCTAAAAATAAACTTCAAAATTAATATTAAATATATCACTAATAATGAGACAACTGAGAGTCGCATGTTTAACTCCAAGTCAATAAACTCCTGTTTTAAATTGATCAGAGTCAAGCAAATAAACCCCTGTTTTAAACTGACCAAACCCAAGTTAATAAACCCCTGTTTTCAACTGACCAAACCCAAGTTAATAAACCCCTGTTTTAAATTGACCATAGTCAAGTTAATAAACCCGTGTTTTAAACTGATCTAACCAAGTTAATAAACCCTGTTTTAAATTGGCCATACGCAAGTTAATAAACCGTGTTTTAAATTGACTATACACAAGTTAATAAATCATTGTTGTAAACTGACCAAATCCAAGTTAATAAATCCCAGTTTTAAATTAGTACAAGAAAGATTTCGTTTTATGTGTTTATGTTTTGCGAGAGAATGAAGAAAAATCAATATAATTACATTAAAAAGGGGGAATTATATACAGTATTGGAAATAATTATGGAAATGGTGATGAAAAGGAGGTATGAAACGCAGATACTACAGGAATGCCACTCCTTATGCATCATTCATGTTTTGGTAGCTTATATTTTGATTGGTTGTTACTTTTAATAAGGAAGCACATTAAGCTAATATAATAATAGGCGAGTAAACACCGATTTATAAGAAAAAGGAAATGTTTATTGATGGCGAAGCATACTACATGCTTCGATAGAACATTGGCCTGTCGTTTCAAGAAAAGATCAGTACTAAGCAATACAGAGTTTATTTATAGTTACTAAGACACAAGGATTAAAGCAAACGATCTCTTACTAAACCGTGATAATGGCCCTAGCAACATCAGCCGTATTTCTCAAGATCTATTCACCGTTCATACACTTGAACAGACCTGACCTTTACCTATATCCTGTTATCTGCTGGCACCATTTTTGTCACATTTAATTTCTCTGTCTTTTTGTCTTTGTAACTACATATAAACCTTGTATTACTTAGTACTAATCATACCGAAAGAAGACAGGCCAATTTTCTGTCGAAACCTATAGTATGTTCAACCATCACAGAACTTTTCTTGAGGATTTTTTCAACTGCACATTTATGTTTTAAATTCATTTCTCAACACATGACGCCTTATTGCACCTCATATATACAGGTGTAGTAACAAATGATCCAAAAAATAAAGAATATTCTAAGAAATATATTTATTTATCAATGGAATTTTATAATCTTAATTTTTTGTGTCCACTTGAAGTATTTTACAGGTGCACCAGTTAAAATCAACTGCACACTAGGAAAACCCCTGTTCCATCAGTAAAACTTTTATTTGTGATTGGTTGTTATCCAACCACTTCAAATGTGCTACGCCATTATAAAACCTATAAAAGCACAGTCAGCCATACTATGCCCATTAGTATTAGTGCGATCCAATCATTGCTCTCAGTTGCCATTAAATTTTTGGCCGTTTCTCTACGGTTATCAGTTTTGTGTCTCCAGGATTATTTGTATTACTGTATATGGACTGAACTCTCATAAGACAACCAATAGTTGCGCGTATAATAGAATAGGACAACAGAATTAAGAAATTATAAAGTGAAACTATTATGTTTTAGGAAAGGGTTAAATCATAAGATCAAGATAATAAAAAATATATTTCATGTCTAATGGTTAGAGGCGCGAAGTTTTTATTGCGAAATATTAGAAAAAGAAATTAAGTAATAGTTTATTTGTTTTAACTGCAATCCTTCGGTGGCAAAGGTTAGAAAAAATATTTGGAGATAGTTATTACGAACAGAACTGACACAAGATAAGGAACATTATAATGATGACTGATCGTTGACGATTTAACCAAATAAGTGAAACGTAACAGAGAGAATTTTTTTTAAATCCGTTAAGTGTATATAGATACGGATTCGATGTTATCAAATTAAACCCAAGCCGACACAAAGCGATTTTGTTTACTGTTGTCGAGAATACAAAGAATATTCTTATTTTTAAAGCCGCGATAAAAACCAATATCCTTGTTCTTCCAAGAAAACCTAGTTCAAGGAAATAAATAATTGTATTTACAGCGTAGTTTATTTTTATTCGATACGATATAACCACAAGAGAGACGGACGACAGGATGGTAGTGCTTTCTAATTACTGTAGATACAGAGCTCATAAAGAGGCAGTTAAAAGGTTTGAATTACTCGATAAGTTGATAACGTTTCGTTTAGAAAAGCTGAAATATGTCTTATATACAATAAAGTTACAAGTCTAATTGTGTAAATGTAACTTTTGTTAGCCAACACAAAAATATATTAGCACTAGCTCTGGAATTTATTCAAGAAATTTCAAGGAGTAAGAATTATTTAAAAAAGTTAAACATTCCTTACAGAAACTTTAACTCTTTCATAAGTTGTTAAACCTAAAATTTTCAATTCCAACCAAGGGGAAAACCCCATGCGGATTTTAATAACAATTCATTTGTCTTAACCCAAATTATTTCACTAGGAAGTGCCACGTCTTACACACATTAAAAAAAGTAAGTATTTAATGTCATCAGTAAGGTAGCGAATCAACAAAATACGATTTATATGGCCACAGATATGATGGTCTTGACATGGAACATTAAATATCATAACATTTATCTCAACTATTACCTTCACGTAACGTTAGAGGCACTAAAACTGGTGTCATGACCCATATTTCACATCTAGTTCATAGATTTATCCTATCTGGTTTTAGCTGATGGTAGTGAGAGGAAGGTGACAAAGTTCTTTTCTGTTGTAGGATGGATTTTCATTGGAATACATTTATCTATGTCCTGACAGTTCAGTTGACAGGAGTCCATTTGTTACGTTCAAGAAATTTGTGGCTTGCTCGTTTTCCAGCTAAATTTCTGTTAAATTGTAATATCTTCAATGTAAGCATTTCTATCGACTGTGTTCCAACTGACTCTTTCGTGACATTTATTGATGGACAGTGTAATAGATTGTAGATGAGTACTGATTACGTATAAAGCTAGGTAAAAATGTCTCGCACGTTTATGAGGGCTTGTAAGAGGAAACTCTTCAACGTTCTACAATCAACATGACCTGTATAGAAACCGAAACTGTAAGTGCAAAGCCACTGAACTAACCAATTAACTTCAAATGAAGCTGATTGGAAATTAGAACGGTAAATTTAAACATATAAGTTTAGTGTTTCTAGGGATAATATGTTTATTAGAAAGCTCACTAAAAGTCAATGGATAAATTCAAGGACTTTTCTGACGATTTATCCCAAGTTGGGCGAAGGAAAAAGCCAGTTGACGCTCTCAAATATTTCAAGGGATAACTGTGGGCCTTATGGGTTCAGGAAGAAGTATTTTCAGGCAGATATATTGGAGGGAATTATTAGGCTTCATGGATGAATGGAAGATTAACAGCTTGGTGGTCCAATGGCATAAGTTCAGGCAGACTTACAAGGAGACGAGTTGGTTAACTTTAGTGATAAATTAACAGGATCTCGTCCTTATTAGTAACGCAAACTCATTTCGGTTATCAATATATAGTAAACACATAAACGTAATAATATTATGAAAAGTAAAGTAAGAACAGAAAGTTGGGAAAAACTATTAAAAATATATAGTAACAACTACAAAACGTATAATGCAGCATTTTTTTAATTAAAGAGAAGAACTGTGTGGACTTGAAGCCTTTAAAATATTAGTGTTAAGAAATAATCATTATACAGGGTGGAGTAATAGATTTAAGAATTTTGTTCAACGAATATAAAAAATATATCAGCCTATCTTTTAGTCATTACATGCGATGTTAAACAAATCTGAATTACTTTTCACGATAACCTACTACAGTCCATTTTAGAACGTGAATACATGTATAGAGATAGTAAGCTCTGCGTATCTGACGACTAGTTGCTCATACTTGTATAGTAAGATATCGTAATATGAAGTAAGTATTTTTCACACTTTTATAAATATTTAAAGCTATTTAGAAGTCGTTTCCCTCTCAAGACCTGGCATTTTATTTCAAGTTTCTCAAATGTTCTTTAAAGGTTAATAGGTGTGAACGCTATAGTAGTATAGATTTCAGTGAGACACACAATCAGAGGAACAGTGAGACACCTAATCAGAAAGACAGCGAGACACCCAATCAGAGGGACAGTGAGACACCCAACCAGAAGGACAGTGAAACACCCAATCAGATGGACATGAGACACCCAATCAGAGGGACAGTGAAACATCTAATCAGAGGGACAGTGAGACATCTAATCAGTAATACAGTGAGACATCCAATCAGAGGGACAGTGAGATACCCAATCAGAAGGGACAGTGAAACACCCAATCAGAGGGACAGTGATACACCCAGTTAGAGGGACAATGAAACACCCAATCAGAACGACAGAGAGACAACCAATCAGATGGACAGTGAGACAACCAGTCAGATGGACAGTGAGACACCTAATCAGAAGGACAGTGAGACGCCCAATCAGAGGAACAGTAAGACACCCAATCAGAGGGATAGTGAGGCACCCAGTCAGAGGGACAGTGAGACACAGAGTTAGGAGGATAGTGATACACCCAATCAGAGGGACAGTAGACACCCAGTCAGAGGTTTTTAGTGCTTTGTAGCTGGATCAACGTTCCTTTTAAGAATACATACATGTGCAACAATTAATTCTGTGATGCTTTTTAATATCAGAATTATTCAGAAATGACAAATATATTAATGCAATTATACATTATATATATGTGTGTGTGTGTATAGGTATATGTATATATATATATATATGTGTGTGTGTATATAGGTATATGTATATATATATATATATGTGTGTGTGTGTATGTATATGTATATATATATATATGTGTGTGTGTATGTATATGTATATATATATATATATATATGTGTGTGTATGTATATGTATATATATATATA